TAGTGAGGGAACTTTGCCACCAAGAAATAACAACAAATGAAAAATGGCTCTGGGTAGATCTTTCCCCAACTATTTACTACACAAATTATCCTTAACTCCTGAAAATATTTCAAGACACGAACCGCTTAACCCGGGTCTTTTCTTTTAGCGCCAATTTGAGAGAAAGTTACTCCTGGATTCCACGTGCATGGAATGTATTCCAATCTGAAAACGTACTGGTGAGGGTGAGGGTGAGGGGAGAGGGCTGGGGGAGACCGAGGAGGCCTGTAGCTGCACTCAGGCACTAACCACGCCGAAGCCACTGTGTTGACTGTGTCCGGCCACCCACTTGCCACGGTCTCTGCGACCCTTTCTAACCTCAGTCACACCCGAGCCCCTGGCACAGGCACCACCAAGAGAGAACACCTGCTTCCACCACGTGCTCGGTGACTTTCACTCGACACCTTTGTCAGTGTCTCTGCCGCACACAGATGCGAAACGCAGCTGCGTATTACGACTCCGAGGTCGATGAGACTGACGATCGAAACAGAGTTGAAAAGAACCGGACAGACACGAGGCCGTGAGCACCTGCCTGCCTTCCAGCCAGACAGATCTGGGCCTCCCACCAGCTCTGCCGCTAATGAGTAACCTTTAGCAGGTGACTACACCTAACCAAGCCTCAGTCTCTCCGCGTGTAAAACAGGGACAAGACAACGTGCCTCGCCGGGCTGCTGTGGGGACAGGGTGAGGCAATGCCCGGGGGGCTTCCTCAAGCATCACCAGGTCTGTGCGCCCAGCCGACCAGTACAGAACTAGTCCGTTCAATCACCCCTCCCCCCAGGCCTGCCTGTTGCCTACGAAACATGACCCATTTCCAGAAAAGGATCTAGAAAGCCAACGCCTCAGAAAAGATACCCACAAAAATTATTTTAAACTAAGCTTTACAAAGAAAGAATGGTACCTCTCATCCCTGATGCCGCGATACCCCAAGGAGGGCCTACCGAACACCCTTCCTCACCCAACCTTCCACACCCGATTCGCTGGAAGGACCTTGCTTTAGGTTCGGGTGTGCACCCTCCCTTTGCTTGGGTAAATGACCCCACCCTGCCCCGCCCCCAGGCGTGAAGCCAGTCATAACTCCTGTCCCTTTGCAGATGCCTGGAAGAGGCAACAGCATGTGACCCGTCCCCAAAGGGGACCCAGAAGTTCGCTGGGGGGCTTCTGGTAAAGGTTTCCCTCCATAATAAAAACTGCAGGGAAGGAGACTCAGCTCTTCCCTGCCCCCTCCCCAGCTGTTGCCTCTTCTCATGTCCGGCCTGGAACCAGGGCAGCTGCAGGAAGGAGCCTGGGAATAAAGACAATATGCAGAGGATACGATGGAAAGACCTGGTGTGGACGACACCGTTGGGCCACAGCCCGGAAGAACCCAGACAGACGTACAGTGCTTGGGACTCTTGTGAGTTAACAGACCTCTTCCTTTTTTTAAAAAGTTTTTTTTTTTACTTTTGAGAGACAGCAGCCTCCAGGCTCTGAGCGGTCAGCGCAAAGCTGGATATGGGGATCGAACTCACGAACCGCGAGATCGTGACCTGAGCTGAAGTCAGACGCTTAACCGACTGAGCCGCCCAGGCGCCCCATAAGCCTCTTACTTAATTTGAAAGCCACTTTTATTCAAGCTTTCTGTTACTAAGTCTTCCAATTATAACAAAAACGGTCACCAAGGACAGACAAATAATACAGCAAACTTAATGTCCTGCCCGGGTGTTACATCTTTTGTAAATTTCCTTGTTAGTGCATTCTGGATGCTATTCGTCTTCTGATAAGGTATTTACTCATCCAAGTGGTCATTACTAATGCTATTAGTTAGCATGACGCCTGCAGGCAGGAAATGGAAGGTTTTGCTGATCAGGGAACATGTCACGGTAGAACCCTTGGAGGAAAGCACCGAGGGATCGTCCGCAAATATTCCCATCCACACCCCTACTTCACTGACCTGATTGCTAAGGTGGGCAGCAACTGCCTAAACCTGTTCTTATAAAGCACAGTGCACCAGGGGCCCTTATAATTAAATACAGAAAAATGAGGGGTGCCTGGGTGGCTCACTCAGTTAAGCGTCCAACTCTTGATCTCAGCTCAGGTCTTGATCGCAAGCTTGTGAGTTTGAGCCCCACACTGGGCTCCACAATGGGCATGAAGCCTACTTAAAAAAAGAAAAAAGGGGGCGCCTGGGTGGCGCAGTCGGTTAAGCGTCCGACTTCAGCCAGGTCACGATCTTGCGGTCCGTGAGTTCGAGCCCCGCGGCAGAGCCTGGAGCCTGTTTCCGATTCTGTGTCTCCCTCTCTCTCTGCCCCTCCCCCGTTCATGCTC